CTTGCAAGGATTGGAAGCCACCATCATGTTTTTAAAAAAACTTTTAATTAATAAATAGTGATATGAATTATGCCATGTCGCTTTGAAAGGAAGTAAATTTTAAGCCATCCGCATCCCTGCAATAGTAGTGATTGCAAAATGACATTGACAATTTTTTTAAGGCTCTGTTTGGAAAGCAAGAAAATGACTTCTAGAAAATATTTTCTAGAAAATGTGTCATTTTTCAGAAAACATTTTCCTTTCCCATATTTCGCTACAAAAAGGAAAACTGTCTTTGTGTGTTTGGTTCATTTTCCAGAAAAATGAGTGGAAAATGAAAAGAATTGAATACTTCAAATTTTAATTGTTTGATACTTTTGATAAAATCTTTTTGTGAATAGCACTCTTTTGATATATATATATATATATATATATATATATATATATATATATATATATATATATATATATTAACATTTTAAAAAATATAACCTTTTTTTTATTTTTAAATACAAAAAAATCAATATTATTTGTAGATTTTACTTTGAACTTTTAATTCAAAAAAAATAAAAAATTAAAAAATTAAAAAAAAAAACCCCGAGGACCAGCCTATCGGGCCCGCCAACCTTCGTGGGACGGGCTTTGGTTGCATGAACCCTAGCCTGCGAGTTTGGTGGGCCGACTCGCAAAAGTCTGCAAAAAATTAGCCCCGAAAAATTTTGCATGTGCATCCCTTGGAAAATGACTTCCCAAAAAAAGGGAAGTTATTTTCCCTCAAAACATACATATTTTCCTTTGACTAATGCATCATTTTTCATTGACCTCATTTTTCCTCCTCTTGCCAAACACTGAAAACTCGGAAAACATTTTCCGGAAGTCATTTTTCGGGTTTCCAAACGCACCCTAAATTGCCACGTTAATAAGCTTTTCAGTTATGATAGGTTCAGAATTGCAAAATTTTGCAGTTATGACAGGTTCAAAATTGTAAAATTTGTAAGGGCATCCTCAATAGTGGGGATTTTGGTGTGCTTTTTGAGAAGTTTTTATAAGTGTGATTAGGAAAGAGAAGATGTGATAGAAGAGAAAAAAAGAAAGAAAAAAAAAAAGCAATAAAAGCTGATTTAAAAAAAAAAAAAAACAAAGTGGACCCACAGTGAAGCAAAACACAAGAGAGAGAATGAGTGACGCTAGCAAAGTGGGCCCATATTTTTGACATAATCCTTGTTTTTGCTGGGAAAGAATGCAGTCCAAATTGTTGGTTTTTGACTTTATATATATATATATATATATATATATATATATATATATATATATATATGGCAGATTATGGACACACAACAAATTAGTATCATGCACAATATTTAATACATAATGACACACTAGCATACATGTAATCGTCAAGTTTTGAACTTAGGCTGTACACACGACATACAAATTATAACACACGACTACATCCGGTCATGCACACGACTACATCTGCATCACAGCCCTCTATAATATAGTTGTCCACATTTGAATACACTTATTTATATATATATATATATATATATATATATATATATATATATATATATATATATATATATATATATATATATATATAAAAGTGTCTCCCGTGTGGTTGTGCATGTGATTAATGTGCGTGAGTTTTGTACTTAATATGCGTGAGTCTTGTGCTTAAGGTGCGTGAGATTTGTGTTTCATGTGCGTGAGTGTGTAATGCTTAATGTGCGTGAGTTTTGTACTTAAGGTGCGTGAGTCTTGTGCCTAAGGTGCGTGAGTTTTGTGCTTAATGTGCGTGAGTGTGTACTTAATGTGAGTTGTTGTTGAAACTTGAAACTTTAAAATGCATGAGTTTTCTGCTTAATGTGCGTGAGTTTTGTGCTTAAGGTACGTGAGTCTTGTGCTTAAGGCGCGTGAGTTTTGTCCTTAATGTGCGTGAGTGTGTACTTAATGTGAGTTGTTGTTAAAACTTAAGGTGTGTGCTTTTGTGCTTAAGGTGCGTGAGTTTTGTGCTTAAGGTGCGTGAGGGTTGTGCTTAAGATGCGTGACTTTTGTGCTTAAGGTGCGTGAGTTTGTGTTCTGAATGTATTTTGTTTGTGTGTTTAATGTGGGTGTGTTGTGTATTTTAAAGTGCGCTAATGTAATGCTTAATGTGAGTCCACCCGCACCTGATCCCTTCCGTGTGTGTGTGTGTGTATATATATATATATATATATATATATATATATATATATATATATATATATATATATATATATATACTAGTTTTTTATGCGCATTACGCGATTGGGATAATGCCCAATGTATTTTTTTTTTTTTTTTTTAAATAGGTACTTTAAAGTATATCAAGACAAGATTATATTTGAATTTTTCATGCATAGATAATTGAATGTTGAATTTGCGTATTTAAATAGGTAATTTTAAGTTACAAATGCAAGATAATATAGTCAAGATTGATTATAATTGTCAATAAAATAATTGTGTGATTTGAATACTCTATTTGTCAACAAACCCCTCAAATAGTTAATATGATTGACTTTATTTAAAAAAAAAAAATTCATGGTATTAATAAAATACTTGGTAAATAAATATATAGCATTATTTTGTATTATAACTTTGATATTTATTTAAAAAATAATGCACAAAAAAGATAATAGACAATGTAGTGAATATAATCAATTGATGAATTTGAATGTAAAGAATTTTTACATTGGAGAAATATAAGGACAATATAACTAATAAATTATTTCTCTTAATTAATTTATTGATATTGAATAATTTTTTAATAAAGACATTGTAGAGACAATGTAGCGAATATAATCAATTGATGAATTTCAATGTAAAGAATTTTTATATTGGAGAAAAATAAAGACAATATAACTAATGGAATTATTTCTCTTATTTACTTTATTGATAATGCATTTTTTTTTGAATAAAGACATTGTAGACACATAATTCTAAATTAAAGAAATGCATATGTATTATTTTTTGTTGTAGCTACTAAATTATTATTTAATTTAATAAGAGTAAAATAAAGTATTAATTATGCCAACTTTGATTGGGATGATGTTCGAACCTAAGACATTTCTTATTGAAATCAATGAGTAAGTTAACGGTGAACTAACAGGAAAGATAATATTTAACGGAAAAGTTAACAAATAATCATATTCATTAATGATAAATTAGGAAATCTTAAGGAAAAATTAAAATATGATCAATCTGAGCCATTCATTTGATTAAAAAATTTGACCGCCATTTTTTCTACCCATTATAGGCCTAACTCTCTTGGACTCTTATATATATATATATATATATATATATATATATATATATATATATATATATATATATATATTAGTATTATTTATTAATAAAAGAAATAATTTTTTTTTGATGTGATGTGATAGTGAGACTATTATAGGAAGATAAGAGATAATTGTATAGATGGAGAGTAAATAGTGAACAATTACAAATTTAGTAATGTGATGTTTTGAAAGTGGGAGAAATTACATAGGTAAAAATAGCTTTACAGGGCGTTTGGTTGGAGAGGGGGAATTACGTGGAAAAGAAATAGCAATTCTATGGGAGATGAATTACTGGAAATAAAGTGAGAATTTAAATTCCAGTGTTTGGTTTACAGAAATAGAATTATTTGGAATTTCAATTCCAATGTTTGGTATACATGTGAATTGAAAGGGAATAAGTTGTATAAAGTCCAAAATGACCATTGTTATTGTCAGGCATTAATTTTAGGTTAAAAAAGGAATGAGTAATTTTGACTCATCATTGTCTTTTTTTCTTCCTAAAATCCCAGGAATTAAATTCGGTGGGAGGGGGTATATGGGATTTTAATTCCATAAAAAATGGAGAATTACAATTTCTTTCAACCAAACAAGGGAATTTTGTGGCATTTGAAATTAGGTGAAAATTAAGTGAAAAAGAAATTTAAATTCCCTTCAACCAAATGCCCTATTAGGGATAAATCCGGCCTTACTTACATTATTACGAGATGAATCAAATTACAAATTGCACAAAAACTGAAAAATCATATTTTAAAATAGGCAACAATTGAAGTTTGATTTTCCTTCTTACTGTTCTTTTCCAATCGTTATTCCTGCGTGAACTAGGAATAAAATGTATATTTTTAATATATTAAAAGTATATTAGGTGTGTTTGGTTTGCACATGAAAATTAGAATTGAAAAGAGAATCAAATACTTGGTAATGTACCAAAGGCTTGTGGTTGAGCGGCATATATAGTTGTGGCCCTTTAAATGAGAGGTTTTAGGTTTGAATCTCAATGTGATGGCATTGACTTTTTGTGTTTTAGTAGGTTGTATTAATGTTTAGTTATGTATGACATTATAATGCGAATAAATGTTTTAAAAATACAAAAACAAAAAATATAATATAATGACATCTAAAGCACTAATATGAACAAAACATCAAAACAAAAATATGAGGGATGTAGTGAGGATGTTTTAAAAAAATAAAAAACAAAAAAAAAAAACAAAAAATCATATGAAATGATACCCGTTTTCAATAATAACTATTATTTTGATTTCCATTCCTGGTATGTAAACCTATGAAGGAACACAACACACTCATTATTTGTATACTAAAAATATATTATTTGCGTATTGAATGTATATTATTTTATATATTATCAAATAATGTACATTTAATGTATAAATAATGTACATTCAGTTTATAAATAATGTATTTATATTATATTAAAAATATCCGTTTTATACTTTTATTGAAGGTTCACAGAAAATTTTGCCATTCTTTTCTCAGGGCCAAGATCCGGCGCCGATGCTTGGAATATGTAGCCTAAGAACATCTCATCGTATAAGTATGTTTGTATACTAAAAATATATTGTTTGCCATTCTTTTCTCTGTTGGGTCGGGGTGTGGGGGCCCTTAGGATTGAGGTTCAGCCTTCTGGAAAAATGTTTCCAGCTTATTCAGATTCATTAAGCTTCTAATTCCTACTTTGAAACACAAACAGGGATCTAATTTTCTGTATGTAATTTCCATAAATAATAATTCTTTATAACAGCTAATCTCTATGTTCTCAGATGCTAAATACTGCATTCATATCATCCTTTCCTATCAACTAAAAAAAAAACAAAAAAGAGTATGAAAAACAGAACAAATATCCCACCTGTAGAAGTTCAAAAATCCCACCATTTTGGAGTGCCACATGATTGGTCAAAGGGGATGTTTAAGCTACCACTGCACCACTGTTCAGGTGAGGCTAAAGGGCTGCCCCCTAGTTCCCCCAGGTTCAAGAACTCTGCTTCTTCTTTTTGCTTAAACTTTTCTGCTAATAAAGCCTTGTCTTTCTCTTCATCCTCCTCAACCCTCACAATGCTTCTTCCCCCATTTACACTCTCTTTGGACTCATAGTTTGTGTCTTTGTTGTGTGAGCCACTACCCATCTCCATGTCTTTTGTTTCTAGTTCGCTCCGTAGTTTCTCTGACTATTTGAGCATAAAAAAAGATGTTTAAATCTTCCATTTGTTAGTTCATGCTTAATTGTTGAGTGAAGGCCGGTAAAGATTAAGTCTAGCAGCCAGTAGTTGGAGATTGTTTAGCAGACGCCAATAAAAGATTTAAAAAGGTCAAGTTCAGCACCTAACCTCTGGAAAAATTATTCTTGAAAAAATCGGATCTAGGCGCCCCTAGGCGGCGGCCTAGCGCCTAACTCGATCGAGTTAACTAGTCAATTTCGATCGAGATAGCCGAGTTAACCCGGCTGACTCGGCACTGACTTTCTTTTAGTTAGCCGCCTAAGTCGTTTAGGCGCTAGGCGCTACTCTACCGCCTACTGCAACTATGAGAAAAATATGATGGCCTGGCGGTAAGGAAATAGAGTTGGGCCTTCGCTACTAGCTATAGCTTTTGGGGTAAGTGGTAAGAGTTTGAACGTTAAGATTAATAGATGAGAAGAAGGGAATAATTATATACCTGTATAAGCAAAGAGTCTTTTTCTTTCTTCAAGTTATCAAACTGCACATTGAGGTTATCAAATTTGGCTTTGAGGACTCTGTAGTCTTCCTCTATTTGCTTGGATTTCCATCTGGCCCTTTTGTTCTGAAACCATATGGCTACTTGGCGAGGTTGCAGCCCCAAATCTCTGGCCACCTGAAGCTTCTTTTTGGTCTCCAGCTTTGTTTCCAGCTTAAAGATGGTCTCCAGTGACTTCACTTGTTCATTGCTAAACCTCTTACTATTTTTACTCTTCTTCTTCTTGGACCCCTTCTGGAACCCAACAGATTCATGTGTCTCCGATGCTTGATGCTCTTCTTCTTCTTCTTCCATTCCTTGGATTGGATTCACAGACACTATCCGAATTGTTTTTGTGAGTAGATAGAGATATGATGATGATGATTATTATTACTACTGTTTTTTGGCATTAAATGTGTGGGGTTCATTTTATACAAGGGAGAAGTATCTAAACTTGCTTTGGTGGCTTTTCAAATGATTGGAGCATTTGGTTTTTGTTCAATATATATCGTGTAGGAATAGATTTCTCCACCCTTTCATTTTACACATTTCTCCATCTTTGCAATTAATTTCTTCTAGCTCCCTGGGCTTAGTGTAGTTGGTTCATCACCTGACTTGTCATGACGGAAGACGGTAATATGGGGATTCGAATCTCCGATCCTTGAAAACTGTTAAGCATATGAGTGGCTGACATATTCTATCTCTGTATCTGTTAGTTATGCTCCTATTCCTGTAGAATAACTGTGTTAGAATAGTTGTTACAACTTCCTACTATCTTCTCTCTCATTGGTATACAATTTATTGCTGGTTGTATTAACATCAATGAATGTACAGTTCATTCCCTCACATGGTATTATGGTGTGTTTGGTTGGTGGGTTTTGCCCATAGGAATGAGTATGAAAGTGATTGTTGTTGTTTGGTTGATAGGTTTTTAGAACACCACTATGAGTTTCGAATACCCCATCAATTGAAAAACCCATACCCAAATAAAATAATGATTTCATTCCCTTATTCATTCTCAAGCACTACTATTAGTAACCCTTCTCATTCCACCCTACTACCATGTTAAATACTTTCACCAAAACCCATTACCATTACCCAGTATTTGATACTCATTCCGATTCCGATTCCGATTCCTATGTGCGAGAATCAAATACACCCCTCAAAAATGATGAAAGGTCTGAATTGAATCTCTTGTGCATACCTGTCTATGGCAATGGTGTTAGGGAACAGTATATGTGTGTAACTAGGGAGAGAATAAAAACAAGGAAAGGAGCAAAGGAGATATACTTCAATTTAATGGGGGTGTCAAGAAGACAAGAAGGTTGTGAGATAATTGTCGCCTAATATTGACAAAAGAGGTTGCTTTTGACAATAGTCATACGATGTATAATTATTAAGTTGGAGTGTAATCACTAACTTCTTTTGATTCCAATTCACACACAATAGATTCAATACAATGTTCGATAATTTCATCTTTGACGGGAAGTATGAGTAAATTTGTTTGTTTTTGCTGACTGAACATCCAAAATTTGTTGTCTTCCGGCTAAAGCTTTGCTTGTTAATGGCCCATCTTGACTTGGATGGTTACCTCATTCTCATCTGTCATTGTTTCTGCTACCTCAAATGTTTCCTACATTGTACAGGTGTCACTGCCTGCCTTGCCTTCTCTTTTGATATTTTATCTACCTCATTCTCTAATCTCGCCACCATATTTGTTGGCTAGCTCTCTTTGGGTATTTCTATTTACCAATTTCTTTTAAATTTTACACATTTTCTTTTTGCTGATAGACTCATATTTGTCTTTTTTTTTTAGGTGATGAGGGAAACTCATAATCACTATTGATAATGTACACTTAATAAACTCCGGTCTTGTAACACTAGTCGGCAAAGAAAGAACCATAAGAAGGTTGATGGATATTTTAAGGAAGGGGTTTGAGGCGACAAAACCGACCCGGTAAGGTGGAGCAAAGGGTTCAATTGACATCGGGGCTCCTAGGCTGAGCCCAGTGCTCGGCCCCAGATGCCAAAGGCTGAGCCCAATGCTCGGCCTCGGCTGGTCAGAGCTCGACCACAAGGTCGGGCGGGGTGCAGACGTGGTCAAAGCAGATGTAACTACCCGTCCTTTTCTAGCGGGGGCGGTTGGAGAGCAGATTAGTATAAATTTGATCATAACCGTCTTGTTGAGACATCACAATTCCTCTTGTCATCTCATTACACAAGTCCTAATACAAATCTTTATGTTACCTATTCAACACTTTATCTTTATTATTTATTCCTTTAATTCCTTTAATTATTAGTTTAAACTCGGACCACCTGTGTTCAGGGCCGGTCCTATCATTTTATAGGCCCGGGGCGTAGGAACACAAATGGGCCCTACATAAAATTAATATATATTTGCATAACTACATAAAAAGTATATTAATTACAAATAACTTGAAATAAGATATACAAGTTTTTAACAATTTTGCATATAGAGTAATAATATTGAAAACAACTCTAGATGTGTTGGTTAGTTATAAATGAATTTCCTTTGTTGGCTTAAAAAAATTACAAAATATTCAATAATTGCATATGTGACTTCATAAATAAAGAATTCTAATTTATAAAAGTAGATAAAAAATTTAAAACCAAATAAACTTATAGACAATCACATTGTTATTATAATAAAAAATAAAGTAATTATTAATCAAAATTATAAAACACAACTTACAAATAAGAGTAAAACATGAAATCTTAATTATTGATGCAATAAATAAAAAACACTTTAACATTCAAAAAAAATAAATAAAAAACACTTTAAAAGTGAGAAATGATATTCATAACAAAATATGAAACATGATTAATTAGATAAAATAGTTCGAATAGAAAACACATTATAAATCATGCATATTCTCTATTGGTATTATATTTATAAATATTTTTTTTTTAGTTAGTTAGATCAATTTCAAGTCTTTTTTAGATTAATTTGAATAGAATGATGTATAATAGAACTTCTAAACAACATTGATTAGATAATTCATAAAAAAATAAATTATCTTTTAAAATAATTTCATAACTAAAACACAAAATATATTACATATACATAAATCATTATAAGGTTCACAAAATAACACATGTTCTAAATATTAGTAAATTACTCAAATAGAAATAGATTCAAAACTTGTTTTAAATCACAAAACAATCTATATTATAAATCTCACTATTATAAATATAAAAATATAAAAAAGTCACATAGTTACAACTCAAAAAATACGATTAGAAATAGAAATAAATTCTATACGTACTATATAATATTCCTAAATTCATCTTCAAAAGAGTAGTGAAGGAAAGTTAAATTGTATATATTATAATTTTAATACTATATATAATATAATATCCCTAAATTGGTCTTGGTGAAAAGCTTTAAAGTTAATAACAATAATAATATTAATATATATATATATATATATATATATCAAGCCATGGGAATTCGACCCCTGGACATCAACATTAAGGTCCACAGCTCCAACCACCAAAGCTACGTTAACTTCATTTGACCGGAATGTATATAAATTACTTATCTAATCATCATAGTATATATATAAGGAGCGGTGAACTAAGGTGGGCCCCTTTCAAGTGTGGGCCCTGGGCAAGGGCCCAGCTCGCCCTTGCTCAGGGCCGGGCCTGCCTGTGTTAATTCATTCATAAGAGGTAAACCAGCTTAGGTTACCCATAGCTGACTGACTTAAATCAAGAGAGTTGGGATCAGAACTCGACGACCTTATTGTTACAAGTTTGTATCGTTAATCATCTTGGCTGGAGTTACCCCTACTATATTTGTCTTGAGATTAGAATGTTGTTCTGCAACTAAGCAGTATCTATCCTCTGTTATTGCTTCTGGAATTCGATGGAAGCTGATTATGAGTTATGACTCTATTAGCACTTTAAACTGCTTAATTAGTTTAGAGTTGAAAATAAATATATGCATGCAATATCTATTGACTTTTGTGGGCTAAGATGATTAAAGATTTGTTGGAAAGAGTGCTGGTAATCTGTAATACATTTGAAATACAATAAAATACAGAAAACAACAGGGAACAAAAACTAGATCATTTGATATCTTCAGACGTGTAATCACTTTCTTATAAGCTTTAAATCTCCCTCTATAAAAGCAAGAAGGTTCAAAATTTAATCTTATGGGATACAAGAAGATGAATGAAATTCTTAAGTTGCTTTGTTTAAGAATTTCCTATAGAATTGTAGAACTGTGAAATATCAAGATATGCAACAAGATAATTTTGCATATCTCTTTGCAGATGTTTCTCAATAATATTTATAAATACAAATATGACTGTTGGAGAAGTTACATGGAAGTTTCTGCAGTTTTCAAAAACTTAACTTCCATAAAATATATCTTAAATGATATATTTATCATATGAGAATATTAATTACATAAATCATGTTCAACATGAATATATAAGTAATTATGAACCTTTGTAAGGTTATAAACCGCATGCAAATAACTGTGCAAATATATTTATATATATTATAATTTTCTAGCACACTTTTGCATGTAAGTTTGGGAAATTGGAAGCTTACCTGCTGTATAATCGTTTTCCAAATGAAATACACAATTTCCCTATATTGGGAAATAATCCCCCAATATTGAGAAATAGACAAAGCCTTCCAACAAACTCATTCTCCATATTAACTTTCTACCAAATTAAAATAATATTTATAACTCCACAACTCCAAATATTACTTAAGCTTTCATGATAGTCCATTTGAACCATTAATCTCCATTACTATATAAATTTTCAACCAGATTCATATTCATAGATTCGAAATCTTTCTGGGATTTCATGGAATTGGGAAATAAACCAAAGAGCATATCATCCAAACCATCCATCTGGTATACTAGATGTCAACTTTCCCCATGGCAAGATGCCTAATTAATGTTCATAATACCAATTTCCCCTTGGAAAATGGAGTTTCTATTTTCGTATAGACTTCCAAGTTTTGTCCTTTTCTTTTGGCTTTCTTACTAATGTAAATGACTTATCTTCTTTAAATTGAATGCTATCATTATCCAACTCTTGATAATATGAAAATGATTTATATTCCCCCTCCTCTTAACTCTACTATAAAAACTAACTGAGCTAATGACGGATTTGGTCTATTAATTATAACAAAATTACTAATTTGGTCATCAACTATCATCTTTACCAAAGTCCTCATGTTTGAAAATGTTATCGAATTTCGTCATCCGTTATCATCATATACTACGGCTCAAATTGACTATCATACGGCTCAAATTAACGAGAGGATGAAATTGGGTAACATTTTTAAAGTTGAGGACTTAATTTGGTAAAGATAATAGTCGAGGATCAAATTGGTAATTTCGCTATAGTCAAGGGATCAAATCAATCATTAACTCAAACTAACTCAAGAATAGA